CGGACGATACACGGAATCCACATGAAATCGACAGAAAGGCTGGCTGCATATGGAGGAAATACAAGAAAACGCAAGATTCGAGAAACCATCGATATCCTGACTGAAAAAATCTGATGAACCTGAGACTCGAAGAAGACAAAATTAGCGAAAAGTTTTCACATTTCGTAAGCAAACTCAGAGAAGATCAGGGAACAGGAATATGAGCAAAAAGAAGACGACTATTAAAGATAATATTTTTATTGTTGAGCTTACTTCCATTTCGAGTGAAAGTGTTGGGTGAAGAGATTCGAAAGTCGGTTACACCAGAAGACGACGGCGGATTCCTCCTGACCAACTGTCGAGTGGCTTTACTGAAAGATTCAAGCTGACGCTGTATAAAAGGCAATCTCCTTCGATTCCGGTGGAAAGGTGCTGAGCTTTCGTCCGTCATATGACGGACATCATCAGAACAAGTTATCATCGTTACAACAAAATTCAAGCTAACGAGTTAGGAAAACTCACCGGCAAATTCCTAAAAAGTGGTATCTATACTCTACATCTGGCCTCTTTGATCAAGTAGAAAGTAATTTTATTAGTTAAGGTCATATGTCAACTTCGATACCTGTGAGTGTGCGAACACAAACATGCACATACACATACACGTACAGAGACAGACACACTCACAGGTATCGAAGTTGACATATGACCTTAACTAACCAAATGACTTTATACTTGATCAAACAGGCCAGATCTAGAGTATATATACCACTGTTTAGGGATTTGCCGGTGAGTTTTCTTGACTCATTAGCTTGAATTTGGTTGTGACGATGATACCTTACTCTGATGATACTTGTCCTATGACGAACGAAAGCTTAGCACCTTTTCAACGAAATCGAAAGGGATTGCCTCGGAAACAGCGTAACCATGAATGTTCCAATAAAGCCAATGGACAGTTGGTTAAGAGGAATCCACCGTCGTCTTCGAATCTCTTGATTCAACACCTTCAATCGAAATGGAATAAGCTCAACAATTATGAAACGAGATTCCTCGAAACCCAACTTTTCTAGGCATAATTGAAATGAGAAGTTGTGATAGGACGGCAGTGGGATAATAGGGTAAAGAGTAGATAGATAGAC